CAGTATAAAAGATTATTTAAAACTAACATCGGACACATTTAAATGTTTATTTGAAGTTACAAGCCAGCTATCAAATCTTTTTGTTTTTTTAGGACTCGAAGTACATGAGAGGAAGTTCTTGTGTTTGAGGGCCATAAAATACTTTTCCCTAATAACCAGCGACATACGATGTGTTAAGGATGTATCTTCTGCCATCAAATTTAGACATTTGTACACAGCCATTTCACAACCATTCACACCTTTATTCAGGGGACTCTAAGCATGTCCTGTGAGCTCAATGTTTTTAGAGGGTTTTGTGATTTACAGCCTTGACACACCATCAAACTGTGCTAACCAGTCTACAGAAATCCTCTTGTGTGAGTGGACATCTGCAAGAATACACAGTCCATAATCTACAGCTAGCTGCGGTTATGATGAGTAATGAAGATCTATAAAATGAATTTAAGCATGATAGTAAATTTAAACACAAATCTTAAACTATGTATAAAAATCTCTCTTCCTCTTGGAACTCCATTGTTCATTTGTTTCAGTTTTACAATTGTCTTGATTTTTTTTGAACAGTAAAACCTTTTTCTTATAAGACATTTACCAACATTGTGATTTATTCTAGATAAAGTGCTAATTCATACTGTTTCCCTTGTCTTTACAGTATGGGTTCTAACCAGAGCAGTGACAAGCTTTACTGTAATCGTTATCTCGATGGACAGGGTCCTCCATCGCTGGTTGAACAAGGTCCTTCAAAAATACACACACCTATTTCTAAATGCCTGGTATAATTTCTTATTTACTAGTAGATAATTCCACTGAAAATCTGCTTCTGTCTGTCCAGCTACAGGCAAAAATGCAAATGGGACGTTCGGTACACTAAGTGGGTGCCAACCAGATGGTCAAATGACCTGGGAAGTTATCAACAGAGCCCTGGATGAATTTCCTGATGATAATACCCTGAAGATTAACTTCTCATTCCTGGACGGAAAACAGACGGTGAGCTTAGTGGATCTGCTGACAACTATATGTGGTATAGCTAATATGTACTAATACCTAATATTTGAGATAGCTAATGAGGTTGAGCAAGGCATCCACTAGTTTCAAGGTTGGTAATT